CGCTGAGGGTCCCAGCCTGTGAGAGGGAGCAGGCCAGGCTGAAGGAACTCCCGCCCCCGAGTGCACAAATTTTGTGCACTGGGCCTCTACTCTAGTATATAAATTAAAGTATGCATAAAATTAAGTATACAGCTCAAAGATTTTTCACAAACTGAACCCACCTGTGTCAACAAACAGAATATTCCAGTACTCTCAAAGTCCTCCCGGTTCCTCTTTCCAGTTACCATTTCCCTCCCAAGGGTAACCATTATCCACTATCCTGACTTCTAACAGGAGAAATTAGTTTTGCCTGTTTTTCAACTTGATATAAATGGAATCATTCTATGCTCTTTCATGTCTGGCTTCTTTCACTCAGTATGTTAGTGAGATTCACTCCAGTTGTGTGTAACTACAGTTTGTCCATTCTCACTCTATGTATAGTTTTCTATCATTGGGTGACTACTCTACTATTCATCTATGCTACTGTTGATGGGCATTTGCATAATTCCCAGTTTGGTTCTATTACAAATGAACACATCAGTGAACCCATGTGGATGTGCATCTATTGGGTATGGGATATACCCTGATATCTTTTTAATAAATTCCTTTTCTGCTTACAATCAATTGGATTTTATTTCTATTGCTTTCAATTAAGAACCTGGACAGATATGTTATCCATTTTATCAGCAGCCATTTTTTCCCCAAAGATTTCCTTGACTATAAATGCCCTGGAGGAGCAGTCACATGGCACATCCCAAAATTTTAATATATCTTATACTATCCTGAATTATTCAGTTATTTTATGCCTGCAAACCCTGTCTTCCGTACTGTCATAAACTCCAAAAACAGTCTTCAACTGTCACTTCCCAACAAACTGATGTGCTATGGTAAATTATAGCATGCAACAAGTAATTTTTTAAAAATATGTTTTATTGATTTTTTACAGAGAGGAAGGGAGAGAGATAGAGAATCAGAAACATCAATGAGAGAGAAACATCAATCAGCTGCCTCCTGCACATCTCCCACTGGGGTTGTGCCCACAACCAAGGTACATGCCCTTGACCGGCATCGAACCTGGGACCTGTTCGATAGGCCGACGCTCTATCCA